TTTGTCGCAGAGCTGGTTGACTTTGCTGCTGCCTGTCGTCTAGACTACGCTGCTAGTCTTATTGCTGAGTCTGAGTCTCTCTGTCCTCCGTCTGTCAGGGGTGAGTGTGCTCTTAGCACGGACATCCTTGAGGACACAAAGGAGGACCTTGAGTGTCTTGCGGCCGCTGCGCCTCATCTCGTGGCCATGCTGCTTGCCCCTGAGGGAGACCCGGATGCACCAGACATCCCGACCCCGCGCTCTTACGCTGAGGCGATTGCGGGTGAGTACTCCTCTCAGTGGCACGACACAATGAGGACGACACTTGCGGCTCTTGGGTTCGCACCTTCTACTGCTGACCCATCGCTGTTTCTGCGCACCGACACTTTGCTGCCGCCATTCTACATCCTCGTGTACGTCGACGACTTGGTCTTTGCCACTGCTGACACTGAGGCTCTCGCCCTGGTGAAGTCCGAGCTGCAGAAGAGACACACGTGCCTAGACCTGGGTGAACTGCGCAGTTACCTTGGCTTGCAGATCACTCGGGACAGAGCACGTCGCACCACCATACTGACTTAGTCACACATGGTGCAGCAGGTCCTTCAGCGCTTCCGCTTCACCTAATCCTTGCCACAGCACACTCCTCTGGCTACCGGTCACTCGCTCTCAGCTCCACTTTCGGTCGAGTCCGTAGAGCCGAGTGGTTCTTACCCAGAGCTAGTGGGCTGCCTCATGTACCTGATGACCTGCACTCGTCCTGACCTTGCGTAACCTCTTGGCCTTCTCGCTCACTACGTGGTTCCTGGTAGGCACCGACCAGACCATATGGCTGCTGCTAAGAGGGTACTACGCTACTTGTGCAGTACATCGGGCATGGGGCTCGTGCTTGGAGGGCGGAGTGAGGTGGTCCTCACTAGGCACTCGGACGCTTCTTGGGTTGACGATCTGGCTACGCAGTGGTCGTCACAGGGTTACACGTTGAGCCTTGGCTCTGGCTCTGTTTCTTGGCAGTCTACACGCTCGTCTTTTGTTCGCGGCTCCAATTGTGAGTCTGAGATGTACGCTTCAGCCATGGCTGCACAGGAGCTACGCTGGCTCACCTACCTGCTGAGCGACCTGGGAGAGCGGCCTCGTTCTCCTCCAATGCTGTACGTAGACAACAAGGCCGCCATTGCCTTGTGTCAGGAGCACAGACTGGAGCACATAACGAAGCACATCGCTCTGTGTTCCTTCCCGGGTCGAGAGTTGCAGCAGCGAGGTTAGCTTCGTTTTGCTCACGTGGCCACTCGGGCCAAGACTGCTGATGTATTCACCAAGGCACTTCCGTCTGGTGATCATCAGCGTTTCTGCACTTTGTTAGGCCTTGTGCCCACTTTTCCTCACTTGCTGTAGTCTCTGCTTGTACTGTGATGTATATGTATGTATATATATGTATATATATACTTTCTCTTGCTAGGTAGAGATTTATAGTAAGCAGAGTGAGGAGCCATAGCTAGGGTTTAGCTAGCTAGGCAAGAGAGAAATGAAGAAAGGAGGGGTTTCACTAGCAGCAGCTGGGATACATATAGCAAACCCTAACAGGGTTCTACTCGCTATAGAGCACCCCACTACAGGCTAGATAATAACATTCTGACACACCCCCATAGCCAAAGTGGGGTGTAATCAGCAGAGCACACAGTCATAGAGCAGGTTCACAATGGCAAGCAAAGCTAGAGGCTATCACAGAAGGCAAGTGAGGAGGAGGAGAGTACTGCGGACGGAGAGAAGATGGGAGGCAACGACTGAAGCTGCAGAGGCACGGGCACAGGAGCGGCTGACTCAGTGGCTACCGAAGCAAGGGGGACGGACTACTGGAGTGACTGGCTCCGCGGCTAAGACGGGCGGCAGGAGCAACGGACCCACTGGGGACTGGTGCAACAGGCTGACTGGCTACCGAAGCAAGGGCGACGGACTACAGGCGCTGCAGGCGACACGACAGCTACCTCCACACAACCTCCTCCAACTGACCCACACCCTTGACACACACCCCCTGCTGAACCCCTAACTCCACTCCCACGTCACCCCCCTAGCACCACTCCTTCGGCTCCCACACACCCACCCCCGTGAGCGGCAGCTGCAGCAGCGGGAGACGGACGAGGAGGAGGAGCAGGGGACGGCGCACACAACCGGCACCCCCACAACCGCCCCCCCCACAATCCCCACCCCCAAACCCTAAAGCGCGTGGCACGGGGTAGGAGCGCGGGGGACGGCGAGGAGTACGACGCGCGGCCCCCAGGGCGCCACCACGGGGCAGCGAGGGGCCGCGCGCGGCTCTCCAGGGCGCCGCGACGTGAAGGGCGGGGGCCGCGCGTGCTCTCGAGGGCGCCGCGACGAGCAGGGCAGGGGCCGCGCGCGGGTCCCCAAGGTAGGAAATCGCCGCGCGCCTCGGGGCGCATGGCGGGCAGAAAACCGCCACGCGCCCCGAGCGCACGGCAGTCAGAAAACCCGAAAAAAAAATGGAAGAAGGAGTTGCACGCCACGGGGCGTGCAACAGACAGAGTAGCAGCGGAAGCAGTTGGGTGGGCCCACAGGCCAGGAGCGTAGATGCTCTGATAGCATGTTACGATAGTAAGCAGAGTGAGGAGCCATAGCTAGGGTTTAGCTAGCTAGGCAAGAGAGAAATGAAGAAAGGATGGGTTTCACTAGCAGCAGTTGGGATACATATAGCAAACCCTAACAGGGTTGTACTCGCTATAGAGCACCCCGCTACAGGCTAGATAATAACATTCTGACAGAGATCACTGTATTGTTTTTGTTGCTTATATACCTCTGCCTGTGGACTGGCGTTGTGGCCGTTTGCTTGTACTTAGTGTGTGTGGTGACGTTGTGATCTACCCTGAGCTGTGTTTTGTTTCTTCTCTGGACTGGTCTTGTGACCAGGCCCCTAGATTCGTTTTGAGGTAGTCTGAGGCCTCAGAGTACACCCCTCATGGAACTTTGTCTGTCAAAGGTGCCTCAAAATTTTAGTCTGAAAATTCAGACAGGCACAATTTTTTTTGTCTGAACTGTCAGAGTTACTTCAATTTTTAAGATGTTCATGCACTTTCGTAAAAGCAGTTATAATAGCATTGAAGCTGATTACAGCATACAATACCAACGCATCAGGCAACGTGCTCGTGCTCGTGCATCGCCTCTGCTCATGTCGGCGGCGTTCCGGTATTTTTGTCACATGCAGCGCATGGTTGTTTCTGCTCTGCTGCTGATCTCATTTCGTTTTGTCGTGTTTTTTATTACCGTTCTGTACCCATTTTCTCGCATGTGTGCCGATTTTGTCAGTTTTGGATTTGCTTTTCAAGCGATGCGATCGTTCACCTGATCTGTATCAGGTGGGCCAAGTGCCACGCGACACCCTCGGCCCGAATAGAGCACCCGATCTGTATCAGGTGGGCCAAGTGCCACGCGACACCCTCGGCCCGAGTAGAGCACCCGATCTGTATCAGGTGGGCCAAGCGTCACGCAGCTGAGCTGGCAGCAGGCAGAAGCTGTTGCTTGGCGTGGCATGTAAGCATCAGACAGTGCCACACGAAACTTTCACTACGAACTAGGAACGTCGCAATTCACACCAGTGCGTGTTGCATATGTTTTTACAGCGAATCAGCATCAAAGTCGCCTATTCCTTACAGTACATAAGCGATAACTTACATGTGACGAGATTTTGTCTTCAGAAATCTTGTAATCACGCAACCCTTTCCTCAGCGTAACTGGAAGATATTCGCGACGAACGAGTGTATTTCGATGTCCCAGCTGTCGAAGTGAGTGTTGCTCACGTCTTGGCACTCCACTGCCATCTCGGAAGTGGGCATATCGGAAGAAAACTTCTAGGAAACTTCTCTCCGATAAGCGCGCAGAGTGTACCCCTGATACAAGTCTGAGGCTCAGCCTACCCTAGTAAAATTAGGCTGAAATTTCAGACAACTCATAAGAAAAAACTCTGGAAAATCAGACAAGGTATATAAATAAATTCTTTGAACGGACTCTGATTCGGACTAGGTACAAAAAAAAAAGTCTGAACGGACTCTGATTCGGACTCTAAAGTCTGATATCTAGGGCACTGCTTGTGACCATTGCTTGCTCTGGCTATCCCCCATTTCGCCTATGGGGGTGTGTCAAAATATATGCATGTTATTATCTAGGCTATATTGGGGCTAGCCTTAGGGGGTACAGAAAACTTATCAACACCCTAGTATTGTACCCCAACTTTGACCTAATGCATCAACCTTTTCTTCTATAGTTTCTAAGAGAATACCCTTCCCCACCGCTTTGGCGCAAAAGATACCAGTCTTAAGTGTGTAACTTCTGAACTGCCTTGGATCGTTCGGTACCTACGGTATGTCACTATAGCGCATGTGATAGCACCTTCCTGGGTGCGTTGTGTTTCTACAAACCGTGTTGTTCATTCTACCATGCTAGTCTAGTGAGAAAGAGGGTGTTACAACCAACCTTATTCACAATTCACAATTACGACAAGCAACCCACACTGGCCACCTGGCCTCATGTTTCTAATATCTACCTCCACCACTTCGTCACCCCCCCCTCGTCCATCCCTGCGTTCCCTGCAGTTCCTGCCAAACCCATCCCAACCCATCCAAACCAACCCAACCCATCCAAACGCATCCCGACCCATTCCAACCGCTATGCATCACTTAAGCAGAATACGAACGCGGTCGCCCGTGGTCTTGTCCTTCAAATCCACCACCACCTCATCACCCCCTCCACCTCCCCCTACCATCTTGTCAACGACTCACTCACCCACCCACCTACTACAGTCCCGCATTCCCTACACTTCCCCCCCAACCTATCCCAACCGCTCTGCATCATGCTAGGATCACTCCAGCAGGATGCGCACGCGGTCGCCCGTGATTTTGTCTTTGAAATCCACCACCACCACCTCGTCATCCCCTCCGCCTCCCCCACCGGATTGTCATTCACCCACCCACCTGCAGTCCCTACACCTATCCCAACAGCCCCGCACCACGCTGGACTCATTCAAGCAGGATGCGCACGCGGTCGCCCGTGGTCTTGTCTTTGAAATCCACCACCACCACCTCGTCATCCCCCTTGCCTCCCCCCTCTGACTGCGCCCGCGCTGCTGCTCGCTCCACCAGTCCTGCCAGATCAATGCCCGCCACGGCTGTGCGGTGGGGGAATGAGTGCAGCACAATGGAAGCAGTGGTAGGGGGGAGGGGAGGGGGTTGAATGGAAGACTTTATTGCTGCTGCTGCTGCTGCCGCTGCTCGCTCCATCAGCTGTGCTGAAGTAATTGCCAAATCAATACCCGCCACAGATGATGGGTTTTAGATCGAACGATGAAAGGGTAGGGAGGGAGAGATTGGGGAGAGAGGAAGGAGGACCAGAAGAGTGGGGTGCTGACAGAATAAAGCACCTGCTGCAGCTGCGCTTCGTAGCAGGCCGGTCCTCTCAGGTTAACAGGGTTTAGGGTTTGTTTAACAAATCCTCCTACCCTCCATGCCATGCCATGCCATGCCAACATGCCGACTTTTGAGGCGCCTCAAAAGTTGTCAGGCTAACGAATTTTCCTACCCTCCATGCCATGCCAAGCCAACACGGCGCACACTAAATGATAGAACGAACAGCCAGCTCTAGTCAGCACGAGACAGCAGGAGGCAGCAGGGGCAGCGAGGGGAGCAGCAGGAGGAGCAGCAGGAGGGACATTATGAGCCTTGGGACTAACCTGGAATGGTGTTGGCAAGACTTCCTAGAAAGCCAGCCTGGTGGGTGTTGGAAGGGTACAATGGATGGAAGGTGGGGAGGGGGGGAAGTTAGAGAGAGGACGAGGGGAGAGAGGAAAAAAACAGATCGAAAATGAGATGAGAGCAATGCCATATGAGAGGAGAATGGGTGTGCATATAAAAGACTAGTTGGACAGTTGCTTGTGGGCGGAAGAGCAAAGTAGAGGTGGAAAATGAGTCTCGAGACGTTTCGATACTCTGTTGTATACTTTCATATGACAGCAGATGAAGAGGTGTGCACATGCGGATAGATCTGAGCGTAGGAGGGCGTGGGGTCCTCCTGAGATTGGTTTGAATTTTGAGGCGCCTCAAAAGTCTCCGACTGAAACTGGTTTGCTGAGAGGAGAAGCAAACCGCACATTGACCGGAACACGAAAGTCAAGCTTAGTTTTGCTGTCGGGGCTTAGCACTTGCACTCTCAGCATCTCCAGTCAATTTTGAGTCCACTCAAAAGTTACCTGGCTAGCTGAGATGAGAAAAGAACCAAGCACTGCACTGACCGGTACGCGGAAGTCGAGCTTGGTGATGTTGTTCTGGCCTAGCACTTGCACTTGCAACACCCGTGTCCAGTTACCTTCGAGCCCGCTAAAAAGTCGCCTGGCTAGCTGAAACGAGAAGCATACCGAGCAAAGCACTGACCGGTACGCGGAAGTCGAGCTTAGTTATGTTGTTCTGGCCGAGCACTTGCACTCGCAGCACGCGCGTCCAGTTTCCCCACCCACCACCGCCGCCGCCGCCGCCACTGCTGCTGCGGGTCCTCTCGAGGTTCTTCCAACCTTCTCCTCCTGTTCCTGGCGTTTCATCGGGTTCTATAACCACAGGCTCTACCACATCCCACTGCTGCTGCTGCTGCTGCTGCTGCTGCTGTTGGGATTGGGATTGTTGCTGCTGCGACTGGTATTGCTGTTGCTGCTGCTGCTGCTGCTGCTGCTGCCAGTTTGCACCAGCTGCAGCTGCAGCAGCAGCTGCTGCTGCATCTGCCGCTGCTGCTCGGGCTGCTGCTGCTGCCTCCTCTGCTTGTGCTTCTGCCGCCACTCGCGCCGACGCAGCAGCAGCCGCAGCAGCATCCGCATCATCACTATCGCTCCTCCTCCTGCTTCTCCCACTGCTCCAGCTACTCCCATCATCGTCCTCCACCGTTTTGTACCGCTCCTCAAGAGCAAGGTACTCCGGGAAACCAACAGCCTCCTTGAGTTCTTCAAAGGGAGGGAGGAGAGAAGGGCGGGGTAGTCGACCGGAGGCCAATGCTGACAGCGCGTCCTGAGAGTGCGAGTGCCAGTTAGGGCAGGGTGGGGTGGGGATGAGATGAAGAGGGAAAGATTGTGCGTGCGAGGCAACAAAGGGCAGATAACCCAATGGCACAGTGCCAGGTGGAGCGGGTTAAATGAGAGAGAGAAAGAAAGAGGGCATGTGGGCATGGCCTGTGGTGAGAGGCTTACCGGTGGGTGATAATAATGGGACACCTAGGATATGTATTGTTGTGAAAGAGCACACTTGCATGCATGAATTTGTTTCGTGAAAGAGCATACCAGCAGGGCTCCTTGTGAGAAACAGCATACCTGCATGGCCCGAGTGCAGACGCCCACGAGGGAGAGAGGATAGACGGCAATGGCAAAGCCCATGTCCTCCAGCTGCTGAGGTGAGAGGATGGGCGTTCGACCACCGCCCTCCAACTGATTGATCTGCGTTCATTATTGCCCGGGAGGAGTGGGGAGTGGGGCGAGGAGAGGGGAGGAGAGGCGAGGGGAGGGGAGGGGAGGGGAGGGGGAGCAACAGTGGAGAAAGAGAGCTTGTGAAACGACTCTAAAGGAGCTGGGAAGGAAGGAGAGGGAAGGGGGGAGAAGGCAGCAGGCGAGGAAAGAGAGGGGGGGAGGCGGGAAGATCTTGAGAGGGTAGACGGCAATAGCAAAGCCCACGTCCTCAAGCTGCTGTGGCGAGAGGATATTGATCCTCGTTCTACCCCCGCCCTCCAACTGATTGATCTGCGGATATTGTCAGGGAGGAGTGGGAGGCGGGGGAAGGAGGCCGAAGGAGGGGCAACGAGGGAAGAGGAGGGGGGAAAGTGCAGAGGGGAGTTTGTGAAATGACTCAAAAGCCGCGGTGCAGGGAAGGAGGGAGAGGAAAGGGGGGAGAAACGAGGAGATGAGGGGAGGCAGGAAGACCTTGAGAGGGTAGACAGTGACGGCAGAGTGTAGCGAGGTTGTTTTTGAGACGTCTCAAAAACGAGGAGATGAGGGGAGGCGGGAAGATCTTGAGAGGGTAGACAGCGATGGCAGAGCCCCATGTCCTCCAGGTACTTTTGATGCGCTACTTTTGAGCTCATGAGTTCATTGATGCGCTACTTTTGAGCTCATGAGTTCATTGATGCGCTACTTTTGAGCTCATGAGTTCATTGATGCGCTACTTTTGAGCTCATGAGTTCATTGATGCGCTACTTTTGAGCTCATGAGTTCATTGATGCGCTACTTTTGAGCTCATGAGTTCATTGATGCGCTACTTTTGAGCTCATGAGTTCATTGATGCGCTACTTTTGAGCTCATGAGTTCATTGATGCGCTACTTTTGAGCTCATGAGTTCATTGATGCGCTACTTTTGAGCTCATATCCTCCTCCGACACGAGCGCATCAATGAACACCCTGTCCGCCCCCGCGCCCTCCCACGCTCACGGGCTGGTGCATAGAGCAGTGCAGTCACATACCAGCTTGGGGGTGTTTGGCACGGCGCGCACGAATGCACGCATTCGATAAACACCATGACCGCCCCACCCGCACCCACACATGCTTGGTCTACACAAGCAGTCTAAGTGCGTACCAGCTTGGGTGTGTTTGGTACGGCGCGCACAAACGCGCGCATATCCTCTTCCGACCCCAGCGCGTCGATAAACACCATGTCTGCCCCCGCGTCGGCAAACGCTGCTGCCCGCCACAGCGCCTCGTCCAGTGACACAGCCTGACACGCATCCGACCTGGTGTGGGGGTGGGGGGGGGGGCGAGGGAAGGGCGTTAGGAATAGAGGAGAGGAATGCACTTCTGCAGCAACGCTGCTGCCCGCCACAGCGCGTCATCCAGTGACATGGCCTGACACGCATCGGACCTGGGAGAGGGGGTGGTGGGGGGAGGGCGCCAGGAAAAGAGGAGAGGAATGGGCTTTTGCGGCAAACGCTGCTGCCCGCCACAGCGCCTCGTCCAGTGACACAGCCTGACACGCATCCGACCTAGTAGGGGGAGGATGGTGAGTGCATCACCGTGTGTGAGCGCATCACTGTGTGTGCACGCCTCAAGCCTCCCTGAGAGGTAGGTAGACTGACGAAAGCTCACCGTGCGACAGTGGCAATGTCTCCCTGCCCCTCGTCGCGCTCGTCCGCTGCTGCTGCTCAGGCCTTTGAAACACGCCCTCTAAGAAGCAACAAAACCCTCTACAAACAAACGCCCACTCTGCGACAATGACCATGTCTCCTTGCCCCTCTTATCCAGTCACTGGCCTGAAAAGAGCGAGCAGGGATCAGCCTAGCCAGAGGTAAGCACTGGGTAGACTGACGACCGCTCACCGTGCGACTATGGCAATGTCTCCCTGCCCCTCGTCCCACCCGTCCGCTCCACTGCTGCTTGCTCACGCTTTTGAAACAAGCTCCCTGGGCAGCAACAAATCCTCCCTCTACAAACCAACCCTCACCGTGCAACGATGACGATGTCTCCCTGCCCCTCGTCGCGCTCGTCTGCTCAGCTGCTCAGAGGTGACCTTTGAGTCAACTCATCTCAAAGGTCTCCCCTAAAAAGGCCCTCACCGTGCAACGATGACGATGTCTCCCTGCCCCTCGTCCCGCTCGTCTGCTGCTGCTCGGATTCGCATCACTGCCTCGTCCCGCCCCACCACCCTGCGCCCTGCTGTGTGCCCACACGCCTTGGGCCATGCCTGACACACACATGACACATGAGGGGGCGTGAGGGAACAGTAGGGTGAGGAGAGACATAGAGGGAAGCACAGGGACAGGGACCCCCCACCACCCTGCGCCCTGCTGTGTGCCCACACGCCTTGGGCCATGCCTGACACACACATAAGAGCGTACAAGGGAGAATTAGAGTGAGCACAGACAGAGGCGGAAGGGAGTGTACGAGAGTGTAAGGAAGTGTAAGAGAGCATAACAGTGCACAAGAGAGCATTTGTCAAAGGCATGGACTTGCCTTAGCGCATTCACGCGCATGTGGGTCGTTGTGAACAATCTCCCCTCCCCCTCTTCCACTCTCCCCC